TTTCTCTTTCTCTTTCTCTTTCTCTTTCTCTTTCTCTTTCTCTTTCTATTTCTCTTTCTCTTTTTTCTTTCTCTTTCTTTTTCTTATTGCTTTCTCTTTCTTTCTGTCATCCACAAATAAAAATGTTGAAGAGCAATGAGCGGCCTCCATTGGCTATTTATATTCTAACATATGCATCAAGATCTAAACTTTGTCCTGTGGAGACGGGCAGTAAGCCTTAATTGACCTTCTTGCCGCTCTTCGCTAGTATGGCTATGCAGTAAATAGAACTGCGAACATTCATGAATTCTGTCTTCGAGACCTTGCAATCTCTGATTGATGAGATTTCGGGAAGACGAATTTTTCCTTTAGAAGTGCACGGATTTTGAATTCTTAGACCTTAGAGCTGCGCTTACTAATAGAGTCGACATGCCTTGCACAGGCAGGAGTCAGCCTTGCAAATACCTGCAGCAGACTTTCTAGTGTCGCTGTTGTCTAGAAAAAATGTGATATGGCTTTTGTTCATTCACTCATGCTACCATGCATGAATCTAATTTTGCGAAGAGGAAATATTTAGCAATCAAGTGGATTTCCATTTCCATTACAACTCGCGGCTGTTCCACAAGCCTAGTTTCTCATACGCTTCGTTCAATTTAATTGACTTGAACTTCAGCTGCAAAGGAAATTATTCTATCGCTCTTTGTGTGGCTGTAAAAATGTACCGATATATTTATGTTTGTGTATGTGTGTACTACGTACATTCTTTTGTTGTCGCAAATCATAGCTTCCTGTGTCCGCCATAAAGAAAAGTAAAATAATATCCTCAAGCCAAGAATGACATTAACCTCAAACAAACTAACCAACTAGCTTACGGGTATATATCTATGTATATGCATAAATATTTAGTTCTTGTATGAAGGCGGCTACTTGGGTACTGAGTAAGAATAGGTAGAATAGATAAATGTGCTCTTTGCTGTGTAAATAAACTAAGCCAAAGAGATCACTGCCTCAAACGGCAGAAACAAAAAATTATGAGTTAGTTAAGTGTTTGGCCGAACTTTTCCTCCCACATGTGATGTGCGTATTGATGTTGTTACACAAATGGAAGGACCGACAGCTTAACACCGCCTTCGAACGGGGACTGCAGTTAGAGAAAACCGTTTTCTAATTTAGTTTAGATGTTGCTCTGTCCGGGGATCGAACCCAGGTATCACGCTATGGTAGTAGGCACCTCTAACCACTCAAACACAGTGGCTGCATAGCAATATGTTATGCCATTAAACTTGTGCGCTGGAGGTTTTTAAGCCGCTGTCACAAATGATCGAAATTTAATCAAAAGTCAAGTTAACGAAAGACTTTAGACACAAACTTGCAGTCGTAAATAGTACGTACATATTTATTTATTTATTTGCGTTTTGCTCTTTCTTTTTTAATTAACGCATTCAATTTTAAGAAATATGCTTGACACCAATGACGGATTAGAAAATAAAATGAAAAATGAAATTTACAGTTGCTGCTGCCAGCAACATGCATATTTGTCGGTGCTGCTGACTGGACAAACAGGAAAGCAGACCAGTTCCACCAACCGTTTGCATGGACGCAACGAAAAACGAAAACAAATGTTTTATGTACTATATATACGTAGTATGTCCATTTGTGCGCAAGTAAATTGAGTAAAATAACAAATGAAACTAGCTCGTTCAACCAGATCGCCAGACTGATTTGCCGAGCGATAAATAGATAAATTGCTCTTTGACGGACTGCATGTTTATTTAGCTTCTATTTATTTAATTTTTCATTGACTGTTAGTTCAGCTTATATGTAAATGT